CAATGAAACTAAGCAGAAAGGTCTCGTTCAACTTAGGATCTAGCTGGATACACATGTGTCTTAATGTTAATGTTTACACTGTAACTCAAACCCAATGCTTATCACTCCAAAATCTAACGCTTTATCCACTAAGCTATTTGGTCCAAGAGACATTAATCGATTTCAGTTCTCAATGTTAACAGCAAAGAATCACAAACCCTTACTAGTAATCTATAGTATATTTGAAACAACTGACTAGCTGGTATAAGTTTATGATGGAAACCATATTCAAACTTTATAAATTTCCACAAAACCATTTATATAAATGATTCATAACAGTATAATAAGTAGTAACTTTGAGATATATTTCTTACATTTTTAATGATAAATTGTGGTCTATGGAGTTGATCAAAACGGAAATGACATGACTGATCATCAAAAACTGCCTAATAATCAAGTGATTATGAACAAACAGTAATAATATTTACTAGGTCAATGCTTTGGTGCTAGTTGATACTCATCAGCATAGTGTATCTATACCTTGAGGAAACTGATAATCTACATATGATTCGAACTTGTATCATCCAGTAGTATCGCGGTCATATCATTTACCAATGAGTTATTTGAACTGTGATTTACTCACTGTAGGATAAGTTAAAGTAGATGAACTGCTAAGTTTTATCTTGGTGACTTAGTGATAGACTGCTTCCTTCATAATATGAACATTTTGGATTGTAGATAAAATTCTTTAGAAAACATGACGAAACAACTATTCAGATAGCTCTCTGATTATGCAGTGATTCTTCAGCAGATATTAATCCGTGACAAAAGCGACCTGCTAAATAACTGAATACAACTCATTATAAACAATATGAAAAATAATGATTTTACATGAAAACCAAGGATTTCTAACAAATATGTTTATAATCGGAGAGAGGTTTTGTGGAGATTATAGTAATTTAATAATTGAATTCATGAGTCAATCAAAGCTAGATCACCATGGAAAACCTGGAAGCGCTGAACTGCCGTTTCATCCTAGTATGGGACTCCTAAGCAGTGTGTATCCACGATCCCGCCTCGTCAGATTCGAACCCAGGACCTATCAGTCTCGACGGTCTAGCTTCAATTGACTGATGAATTCAATTATTAAATATGTTTAATTGAAACAGAAAGTTGAAATAGGACAAGATTTACACCTCCATCTAGCATAGTGTATGGATTTCTTTCATTTTTTTTGCATTGAATTAATATATAAAAAAACATTCTCTAACAAGACACAATGAATTCATTCAGGTTGAATAGTTCCAATTAATCATAAACTGATAAACTTTATTCATTCATACTTATTTCATTGAAGGGTATTTATTCAAAAAGCAAAATAAATTGGGGACAGTAATTTAAAACGAACAAAATATGGAACCGTGTGCATTGTTCAATTCTAATTAAAACGATTGAGGGAATAATAATAATAATAATAATAATAATAATAATAATAGAAATCTGATACTTATTGATATGTCAAAGGAAAAAAAATCAAGAATGGAATTAGACACAAAGAATTCAATTCAACTATTAACTGACCCATATTTAATGTGACCATACCTGTATACACATAGGGGGATACATACACTACATGTTACACCATCTATAATCTTATGAATGAAAATTTATTGAGTAAATTAGTGTGTATGTAGCTAACAATAAAAAAATCTTTAAAAAGATTCTATCATTTGGATAAACATTGTCTTTGGAAATTACAAAATTTAAAAAAAAGAAGATTAGTCAGTAATAACATAGTGGTGAATTTGGTAATAATTGTTATTGACAGATTTCATTGATAATTTTCTGAAATACAAATGACTATTATGATATGTGTGGTGTGTGCTACTTATATTGACATAAGTAGTATATGCTGTTAGTCGTGAACAGAAGGTCTGGCAGCAGAGAGACAAGAAGATCGAACAGTAAAGAATGGAAACAGGATGCAATTTGTATGAAAATGCAAGAACAATGAAGTCTGAGTCATTTTGAAACAATTGGTGAACATTTTGCAAATTAAGTATTTACTTTATGATTGTTAGATTTTATTAACAAGTCCAGTAGTTTTGTGTTGAATACATTCGGTTGCCCCCACTCGTCTTCTGTTCACTACAGTATTTAGTATTATTAGTTAGGGGTTTTTTGTATTCAATATAATCCTTAGTTTGTATACATGAATAGTCTCTCTTAACTTTGTTCGTTAGTTAGTCGATTTATGACCATTGTGGAGTATTGAGGATTTTCATTTCACAATTTCAGTGAAGGGAATGTTTTTATTTTTGGTGTCGTTTCCTTAAACAATATAATCATTTCATTTAAATATAATTAGTTATTCTACGATACTAATAAAGATAAATCTAATTGAACACTTGATCCTGTTTTTTAAACTCTTCTGATAACCCCTAGGCTAAATCTACTCAGCAACTTGAATACGAGAGAAAAGGCACGAAATATGGAAAGAACGTTTTACTCCAAGGTTAGTTTATGTACAGAAAATCTAGGGTATTCGCAGCATTTTAGATGACCTTGTGCTGCTGGAAAGTTATGGAACCCTTCTAAAAATAGTAGCGGGATGGGTATTCATCCGATCAGTGACATTTCACTTTCTAGATGTTTCTGGCAAACTTCTGTTGAATGCTTATTGGATAAAAAGTTTCTCAGTGTTTTTAGGACCCCTTTGCGCTGATTTCGAAGAATTTTCTGGGACTCATCAACAAATGGCTTCTTCATATATAGTGCATAATTTGCAAATACTCTCGTTATAAATATTTTTCAAGCAAAGTGTTCGAACTTGGAAAACTCAAATGATTTATGTTGTACCGTTTTATTCAGCCGCTAACACACTTCCATGTTTAGCAAACCAGTTTTTCAGAATGGAAAGACTGGCTGCATGATAAGTCAAATAACGATAATTGAAATATATATATATCCAAGACTTAAACAGGAGAATGTGTGGGCAGTAGACTTAGCTAGGTAAATAATTCACTTACAATATCTCGCTAACATTTGCATCTTACTGAAGTAAATGCACGATATACCATGTGGTCTATCTAGGGAAAAAATCTGCCGAATCACATAGAACAAAATTATTGCATACTGTATGTTGAACAAAACAGAGGTGTCTTGAATGTTTAAGGGAAGCGTCAGATAGCGTCGATTTGAACAATATTAACCTGTCAGTTAGCAGAAGCTGTATAAAAATTTTTACCAGTCAATGTTGATCCATGCTGTTGAGAGGTCACTTTACCTATATATTATGATGGATTAGTTGAGATTTGAAACGACAACGCAACAGTGAGCGCATTAACGTAGAATAACATTCTGGATTGTATTTCTCAATAACTGTACAAACAGCCCCTAATAACTGAGAAAGCAAAAATGGAAGTTTCTTTACTAATCCTACAGTGCTAATTCAAGTGTAAAATATGTTATCATTCATTTCCTGGTACTTGGATTAAAATTAATCGAGAAGTCGTTCTGTCGGGTTCTTCAACTTAAACGTATGATAGCAACTAAATTAGAAACATAGTTTGTTGATCTCCTTGTAATCAAATAAACACTAGAGATAATTTGTTTTCGTGATCGCTTAAAAAATCAATGTAAGTTGCTTACCAATACAGGTTTGCGTACCCAGCTCTAAGCTACAAGGTTTTGAATGTATCAACATATGAATTATTGTTTCAACCAGTGAACTCTACTGTAGTTTAACTATTTATGAACTAGCTTATTTAAATGCTTGAAAATTTCATTGATGAACTAATTTCAAATAATTCTAGAATTTTGTTAAGGAAAGCACCAGTCTCATTTCTTACTGCATAATTTAACTTTATCTCATCTTACTGAACCTTTATTATTATTACTACCATTATTATCTGAAGACGTTTTGGTGATAACTGGACTGGCTAAATGTTACGATAATAAGTGAATGAGCAATAAGGAAGAAGAGATGTCATACTTTCTTTGTTTACAATTCTGAAGAACTGTTGGAAAGACAGTTTCATAATCACAACATACCTATTTAACTTACAGATTCTCTAAAAAGTATAGTGGGCACAGTTTAAAAAGGTGAAAATATTTCAATTTATTCTCTTGAACAAATTGTGATTAAATAACTGATAGAAATCTAGGAATGATTTCACTTCTAACCCTAAGAGAGACGGATACAAATATAGTATTTTTTCTATTGACTGATATCTGCTAAAGTCATTGAGAATAACAGAGCACTGTGCAGATGTTAAGTCCTGGTTTAAGACTTCTCACCAGTTAGTAAATTATTACGTTGATGATATTTAGGTTTCATGATGCAAAAGAATTCAGTCAGTCATTGAATCAGAAGCCAATGATTAGTATTACCCTAGTTTTAGATAATTTCTAATCATTATATATGGTCGTAGGTAAGTGTCCGTTTCATTTTCAATAAGCAACTAATCATATTTGATGACATATATTAATCAAATTTTACATTTAAATTTATTTTTAGCCAATAGGATTGGATAGTCCGCTTTCTAACTGATCGTTATAGATTAAATTTGTAAGTGTAATACTTATTTACGCATTTAGGTCAAGGTAGATTTCGTGGGGATTTCCAAATCTCAACCATCTAATTATTCAAACTAGTGTATCAATGTCAGTATCATTTTTCTGAGATATGATTATGTTGTTCAAAGATAAACTATGGTATTTATATTACTACTATTAGGTATATAATTGATAGACGATGTGGCAAAGCATATTAGGCGCTAATACGAATAAACATGTCTAAAAGATCTACTTATATTTCAATTAGAACATATTCATGTATTGATTTTTACGAGATACAGTGAAGTTAGCATGAAATCACTAGATCTCAAGTAACAGATGGCGTTGGGATGGAACATTGACTTGTGTTGAAAACAATAAATGTTCAGTATACAACTTATATACCATTGGACTTACTGAAGATATCGATTTTTAGAAAATAACTCGTCATCAGATCATACATATATACAATAATAAACATATATTTGAGTTTTATATGTACAAAGCTAATGGACTGAGTTTAGTAATTTAGCTGATCAATAAACAAGGGAAGTTATACAAAAAAACATTATCTATACAGAATTCGGCTGTGCATATGGTGTACCAGATAATGGAGTAAAACCAGGTAGTTGTTGCTCACAACCAACAGAATCTGATTCTAGCTCAGGGGTGATTGCAACAACTTTGAATCGACTACCCATTTGTTCATTGGTGACGAGGATTTCACACGCTGAAAACAATTCATCCTTTTGTTGTTCTGATTCACATTTAGACAATAAAACCTATAGAGAGTAAATGAAGTAAGTGAAAACAAATAAACAAGTAAATAGATTGAATATGTCATGAGACAATCTGTAGGTTTATTGAAAGTAGGAATCATTAGATTTCGAGTACATGTCTATTGAGATCTCCTGAGAATTTCTCAATAATGTTTTCGGTGGTCAGGAAAAGGCTAAAGACATGTTGTGTAGTCAGCATTTAGCGAAAACACCCTAGAAACTCCTAGAAAATGGACACTGATTAGATGATTACTCATCCTGTCGCAAAGTTTAGGATCCTTTCATAAGTTTACAGGGGTCAAAAGCCTCCAATAAACCCATAAATAGCATTTTCATCTGTACATTAGCTTATCTTAAAGTACAGCTTCTGTCCTTACTTTGAACCTTTTCTCTAACATACAGAAGTGAATTGTAGGACAATTTCGGAGATCTATGGGACAGCTAAGAAGTCATTAGCTAGAGTTCGAGTAACCGATTTGTCAATATCTAACTATGAGCAGTGAAAGCCACGAGTACGACCATATGTGTACGGCTATAAAGTCAACACCACCGAAGGGTCTTAAACCAACACAAGATGAGTATCTAATGTTGATTTCAGTGTCCATGACGAAAACCAACTTCAAGCTAAACAATTTCTACAAATCTTTTATCTTAAGATAACAATTTTATTATAAGCAGAGATAGAGTTTGAAGCGAATGGTATTGATTTCGAGTCATGGAGTGAACATCGACGTTGGGATTTTGGCACATCCAGATGAAGAGTCTCAAATAAGACAAAATGTGCGTCCTGAATTCTAATACTAACCACTATCTATCTCTGCTTAATAGTGCTCGTGAATCAACGACAATATCGAGGCAATCCGCACATAATGCACATATCCCGGAATAGACTGATCAACTACAGTCCTAAACAACAATGGAAAGGTTCGAACAACCAATATATGTGAAGTGATAAGTTTATCAATGTTAAAAGCTGAAAACACAGTAGAGCGATATTGATTCAAATAAATTTTTATCTTACCTGATGAAGCAATTTATCATTCATGCATATCTACATATACTAAAGCTAAGAACTGTACATCTGTTATCCACGTGAAGGCTGATCATACTATCTATTACCACTTCTTCGGATTAAGTACAACAAATTCTTTACCTCTGGTTAACATCTCTACCTATATTGTCACTTCAAAAACATTTAAAATTCGCTGGATCTACATGTACAATGGAACAAGGGTATTGGTTGTTTTCAACATGATCGTCATGAGTTAGGAGGTTTAAAATTGTTAAATTCATAGGTAAATAAATTTCATTCATGCTACCTTTATTAGTCTTCATGAGCAGTACAGATCGGACTATGCTCGGTATATTACCCAAAAAAGTACTAAGATAAGTGCTTAAGGCCTAATATGATAAAAACTTATATTTTAGGTAAAAAAAATCCGTTCAATTAAGGGAATCGTGAAGATTAATTTGCAGTTGGTAGTTGTTACAGATTTACATTATTTGAGGTACTATTGAAAATCAAGTCGTTACCGACAACACTGAGTAATAGTTACACGATGTTGCGAATTTCTTGAAATTAGAACTACGAACCATTGGGTTCCATTTCGGTAGTAATCTACAGGTATCATCTTCACTATGAGATTGAAATGTCCTGTGCGAACACTGTCGGGTATTTTCACAAATACTAGGACAAAGCAGTTATTTATTGCTCCTCATATTTCAAAAGCACCTTAAATCATATCGATCCACGGAGAATATCATTTACAAAAATATCCAACTATATAAAGGGAATAATAATAAGCGAACAAGAGTATACATTGAAACTAGAGTTGAACCAGGGTTTTTGGAAAAAAACCAACGACATATTTTACAGGTCAAACTATAAGACTTAACTATCAATTAATTAATTTATTCGGTTAAAATATTGAGTGACCGATCCGGTTCAAATGTAAGTGACTAAAAAGGGGAAATAATTTTTGTGTTTTAAATCATACTCTATGCACAGCTGAAGTACTCTTGTTGAAATTCAAAGCAGATAACATTAATAATTTTTAAATGTCTTTATAATGTAAGAACTTTGAAAAAAAAAAAGCAAATCCATAGGGAGAGAGACAATTAAAAAAATTCAATCATTTATTAATGGTTACCTTTAATCGAGTGAATAAACCCATGTTGATAAGAAAATAAGCTTGAGTTACAGGGCCATGAAGTTTTACTAGAGTATCAGGAAAAATAAAATTTTACTAGTTAAAATATAAACAGAGATATAAAGCAGAGAATTACACAGTTAGAAATTATTCTCCCTTTATCAACATACAATTTCAGAAAAATGCAAAGAGGAGTTGAATTATTTGATGTGGTGTTAGTCCATAACATCGTTGACTATTGGACTGAATTGTGTATACAAGTGCAAGCTACTTAATTAGGATTCGCGAGATTATTGTAATTAGTGGTTAGAAACATTGGGTGAAATGATTTACAATAGTACGCAAAAGCGTAAATGGACTCAATCTTTGTCTTCTTTTAGGTTCTGAGTTTTGAAAGAATCCTGTGCCTTTTTTATCCTGAGAATTTATGCTTCTTTACAGAACCATTCCGCCTAAGTCTAACCTCTTCTCCAACGACCGGTATAACTAATACTTCTGTTACTCAAGTATCCCGCTGTTCTGAGGTAGTTTGGCAACTTTAATCAATGCATATGTGCCAGATTCTACGTTGTGTGTGACTTACTGAATGAAAGTACTTAAAGGAACTTAATATGCTTATACAGAATTGTGTACAAAGGTTATAAACTAATGGTACAATGCAGTAGTTTAATTCAAAACAGGTTTAAAAGTCAAGAATTTCGATGATTAGACTGAAAAATCTCGAAATGTCTTATTGGTTAATGAGAGCCGTTATTATTTTTTCTTGAGTAAAGGTTCGGTAGTTATACGCTTTCAAGTGCGATTAATTAGCGATGTTGTAGTTTAAGACAGCTAGATATGTCACCGTATATATTTGAAAATCATGTAATTTATTTATCAAGTACAGTCTTATGCATACGAACAACCAATCGGACGACAGCAAACATCATTATATACATTCAAGTGAGAGAAATTGCAACGCATACGAAATCTTACGCTATCAACTTATAGATTCGATTATCCGATCGTTTTAATCTAACACTAGTGTTACGTCTAAATGTTGTCGATTGCTTTCGTTATTAAATGTAAGTGCATTCTATGTGCTTATTGAGTTATCAGACTAACTTTTTTCTGTCAGCTTCTCTAATACACTCCCTTTGACACTCCCAACATACGAGGTACCTTCAGGCTAGACGCGAAACTACCAAAAGGCGAATATTACAAAGTGAAACCCGGGTAATACTTTAAAAGAAGAACTGGATAACCTGGGTTCTCTCCTTAGCAGTTACCTAATTCATTTCATGATCAATGGTATCAATCTGATAATCAATAACATTAGTAAGGAGTTATATGCAAACGGTTTTATTTACTATAATATGATCATAATTATTAATCACTGAAACAAATAAGCTAATCAGGAAAGCATTAATTTAATTTTTATAAAAAGAAATTAGAATATTAAAACACAATTATATGATTGTGTTTTAAATTAGAATAACATAGAATAAAATATACATGAATTAAATAATAAACAAACCTTTAGCATCGGAGTTTTTGACTGCCTGACATAAAATACTAAAATCAACATCACATGTTAGATCAGTGTGACCAGGATTGATGAGAGGATCACAAACTGAATGTTTATGAAAACCCTGTAAGGAAAATAATAGAAGAGAGGATGCATTAGTGTTGTAATGGGAAAAAAGTTTTTCAGTGCAGATTTATGCATGAACACGTCGACTGTGTAAACAATGGTAGATCAATGGTTAAAGCATTCATCTTTCAGCGACTAAGTCCCAGGTTCAAATACTTCACCACCTGTTCCGGCTTGATCAAACGGTGGTACCACTTAACCTAACACATGCAATATGGTCTAAAGCCAAGCGCATGATTTTTTACCTCGTAAATAAGTTGGATTAAGTGTAAAGACTGAAGAAACACAACAGAGGAGTTTGTAATGTCGGTTGTTATGTCAAGCCCACATAGCTAATTCTAGCTTTCTAACTGGGCGATTTATTAATTCTTTCCAAGTCACATTTTGACCTTGTTAATTACTCGCTTATCAACCTTGACTGTTTTTTATATGGTCGTATGTGTGTGCATTTCTTATCGTGCTTATCACATGTCTGTAACTTAATTTTGTCTGAATATAAACATCGATTCACATTTGGTGAAATCGAGTTGGCTCACTCACCTTCACCAGGCGTCATTTCGTTTTGCATCGCTTTCTAACCAACGATTATACGAAATATACATATTCAAAAATCCATTCTCGTATTTGACTTATTTAATTCTGTTATTCACTAACGCAAGTTAAGTCGATAATTATGTACGAGGATTGGCGATATGTATATTTAGACAGCAATCAGAAACGATCTAAATAGAGTCAGATTTCGGGCCACTAAAAGTTCCCAAGCTATGTTTTTGATACAATAAGCCCCCAAATGCCCTGGTACGGCCAAGGGTGGGGAGAGTCAACTCTCCTTCCCAAAATGCTCTCACATGGCGTATGAACCAACTACTGGTCACCGGCTACCATGGGACTGCGTCTCCTGATGTTGTTCCACTGTCTCGTGGGTCGAACCTTTAGATTGAAGGCTCGGGATGTGGCCCCTTAAGAGAACCACCTGTTTCGGTCTGGGCACCCGGTCAGTATCATAGCCCACACACAAATCAAGTGATTCAGTTGAGATTTGAGAATGAACGATTTTATGAAGGAGTTGTAATTTTGACTACCACCTCACAATCATTTCAGTATTTTATCATATGAACTGAGTCTTTATAACAAATTGCATGAAATGATACTGAAACTTGTTAAATGAAATATGCAAAGACTTTGACTTACACGAAATGTATCACCTTTTTCACCTTCATGACCATAATCAATCAACAGTGCACTACCACCCGTTTTATTAATTCGTTTGCATAATAACTGTGTGATACATATCATATCAGGACAGATTTCCACAGAGTTTCGGTTCGACAGATTAGGAACTAACTATAGGAAATAATTGAAAGAAATTTGCAATCATCTAATACTATAAATCTGATTTATTAACTCATTAACCAGGTACTTGAGTGTGAAACAATTTAAATGTGAAAGCTAATGATACTACACGGTTTTTTGAACCGAAATAAGTGGATTTGAGTCCAAACTTTTGACTTGGTGGCTGAAAGTCGAGTGCCTTAGTCACTAGACTGACACAAATATCTATGAAAAGACACTTTATACAATCATAAACTTTACATATGGCTACGAAATTGCAAGTTATAATAATGTCAAAAATAGGTAGCTTCTGGAGATAGCTTTGTACACTAAAACATATTCAACGCAAAAAGAAGATAAGGATTGACAAGGCTTATCGTGTAAATTATCATTAATGGTTACACTGATTTATGTTATGAAAAGTATATGTGTGATCAGATTGTTTTAAATGTATTGTCTAAATATATCACATAGTTCTGGTAACCTTTATTATCTTACGCACTATTCAGACTTGTTTATTGTCTAGCTTTATTCTCAGGGTGGTTTCAGTGACTACTTATAAAATGAAATCTCTCTAATCAATTTCAATGATTTAAAAATGTCACTTTTGTTTTCAAAAGTCCAGTAAAAAAACTGACATATTCAGCTATAATAAGAAATTATTTTAAATTGTACATTCATTGAACTCCCGAACTACTTCTATTATTTATTTATTTATTTGGACACATGAATATTGGTACAATAGAGCGCCAATATATATGCGCCACACAAAACAATGAAAATTCGAGAGGAATACAAAGAAAGAAAAAAAAATAAGGAGCGCAACAAAAAAGAGAACAATAACGAAGAGATTGGTGTAAGGTAATGTGCTAGTAATCAGGGAACGCAAAGGTACAATCGGAAGAAATCTTTCAGGTAAGGGAGACAGAACCACTTTTTACGAAGAAAGTAAAAGAAGGTTACAGCAGGATCGCCACTGGCTTCTATTCTGAGCCATATCTGATAACGTCTCTAGCCACTGTGTAGCACCATCTCTCAGACCCCAACCAGGGAGTCGTGAAGGACCAACACAAGCCAGTCCTTTGCAGCTTTCTTTCATGCCACGACACCATGTCATGCACTGACCACCTCTCCGCTTCTTCCAACCAGTCCCAGAGTCGGCAAATAATGCACGACGTGGAATTCTCTGGGACGACATTCGGAGAACATGTCCAAGCCACCGAAGTCGGTGTTTCAAGATGGTGACACCAATTGAATTATCATATGTGTGCCCGAACACACGATGCCGAACCTCTGCATTACTGACATGGTGTTGCCACTGAATGTCAGCAATCCTTCGGAGACAGCGATGATCGAACACAGAGAGTCGTCTAACGTCCTCAACTCGGAGAGGCCAGGTTTCACAAGCATAGAGCGAAACTGCTCTCACCGACGCGTTGTAGATCCGACCTTTTACGGCCAGACTAACATCACGAAGGCGCCATAGATGGCCCAGATTGGCATAAGCCGCTCTGGCTTTCACTATACGTGCATTGATCTCATCACTCACACCCCCACCAGCACTTATGCAGCTACCCAGATACACGAACTTCGCGACTACGTCTATCTGCTCACCATCCAGGGTGAGTACAGGATTGGAATCCTGCCAGTCTTGTAGGAGTACTTTGCACTTCGAAGGTGCAAAGCACATACCATACCTACGGACACTGATTGCCAACTGATTAAGTGCGGATTGCATGCCTTGGGCATTATCGCACAGTAAGACAATATCGTCCGCATACTCCAGGTCGAGAAGTCTTTCTCCAGGCAACAGACCCACACCACCATTACTTACATTCATCAGAGCTGTTTCCAGAATGTCATCGATGGCAAAGTTGAAGAGGAGTGGTGAGATTGGGCAACCCTGCCTAACCCCACTACTCGAATGGAACAATGGAGAGAGGTGGTTGGATGCCCACACTTTGCCTGAGGTGTTTTTATATAGGGCTTTTAGGATGTTAATAAACTTCTCAGGCACACCCTTCTTCAATAGACAATCCCAGAGAACAGCCCTGTCCAACGAATCGAAGGCAGCCATGATGTCAAGAAACACTACGATTGTTGACCTTTGATAAGTATGGCGGTGTTCTAACATTTGGCGGAGGGTGAAGATATGATCAATACATCCTCGACCAGAACGAAACCCAGCCTGCTCCTCGCGAGTCAATCTTTCTCGGGTTTTGAACAACCTACGAAGTATGACGGAAGCCAATAGCTTGCACGCAATCGGAAGTAGACTTATCCCCCGATAGTTGTTACAGGAACGACGTGAACCCTTTTTAAAGATAGGGACAACTATCGACTCATTCCATGACGTTGGCACACTCTCTAGTTCCCAAAACTTTGTAAACAACGTCGTCAATTCCTTAGTCAAAAAGTCACCACCATCTTTAAAAAGAGCCGGAGGTAAGTCATCTGGGCCAGGTGATTTGTAACGCTTCAAGAGTTGGAGTTCCTTGCGGACTTCCTCCTCGTTTGGTGGATCAGTCGTCACCGGCCATGGAGGGCAGGACAGTCTGACCGATGTTGCCGGAGCAGCAGGCCAGTTGAACTGCCCTTCGAAAAATTCTGCCCACCGTCCAAGACGTCGATGGATGTTAGTGATTGGCGTTCCGTCATCCTCGCAGATTGTTTCATTCACACCAGCCTTCATGCTGCCAGTGGCTCGGATGAGATGGAAGAGCTTCCGGTAATTACCAGATGCAGCTGCTGCTTCCAGCTCATTAGCACGCTTCGACCACCAGGCTTCTTGGTCCTTACGCAAGCTTTGCCCAATTTCCTTACGTAACATCCTTCGTTTATGGTCAAACTCACGGTCACCCGGAGTAGACCGACGGGCTTCAATGAGTTGTAAGGAACCTGCAGAAACCCAGTGCTTAAAAGCGGGACGTTTCGCAAACCCACAACTGACTGTTCCCGCCATTTTCATGGCGTCATGCAATTGCAACCAATGCTCATCTATACTTTTCGGTGGAGTGGTAGCTAGCCTAGAGGCTAGCTCGGTTCGATACTTATTTGCAACAGAAGTTGCAACCAGCTTGCTAATATCAATCCTTTGCTGGCGGTCACTTCGTTGGCCACTGAAAGGTAAGGCAAGATTGGCGCAGACCAAGGCATGGTCAGAGTCCAGATAGGTACTCCAAAAGGAGCGGCAGTCTTTTACACAACCACGCCAGCGGTAGCTGATCGCGATGTGATCAATCTGAGTCCAGGCTTGGGATGCAGAGGGAGGACGCCAGGTGGCACATCGGCGATGACTGTACCGAAAGTTAGTGCTAGCCAGAAACAGGTTGTGGTCTGTGCACAGTTGCAGTAGACGGTCCCCGTTATCTGACCTGCGACCAACGAGTCCCCATCAGCCACCTAAACGACTCTCTTCTGTGCCTAGACGACCGACCTGAGCATTCAAGTCTCCGGCTACCAATACAATATCTGTCGAACGCACTTTCTGGAGAAGAACAGATAACTGGTGGAAAAACCCATCCTTGATTGCATCCGGGCTGCAATCTGTCGGGGCATAGACGGAGATGACGAAAAGACATCGTTTCTCACGCCGATTTCTTCTCACTTTGATGGAACTTTCTAATCTAACAGCACATAACCGACTGTTAATGGGGATCCAATCGACTAGTGCTGCCTCAGCTCTAGCGCTTAGTGCGACACCAACGCCAGCAAGACCAGGCGAAGATGCCACAGGGTCCCCGGATAAGCGCACGTAAAACAAGCTTTTCGAAGCGACAGATGGAGATCGAATTTGTAGTACTTCGCCAGAGTCTTGAATACGGGTCTCGGATAGACAACAAACATCAATATTAAGACTTTCCAAAGACATAGCCAGCCCTATCTGTTGACCAACCTGCATAAGTGTGCGAACGTTGAAGGCAGCCAGTTTGAATGGTGCACGTGGTTTCAGAAAAACTGCTTCAGTACTCATATTCGATGGTAACATACAACTTTCAACCGGACAGTGACTCGAGAACGTTTAGATACAGTCGGATTTCCACCAAAGACGAGCCGCTGTATAAGTATAAAAGAGGGTGAATAATGTGGGAAATAATAATAATAATAATAATAATAATAATAATAAGAATAATAACAATAATAATAATAACGACAATAATAGTAATAATAATAGTATTAATAATGACAAAAATAGTAATGATAATTATTTGAATCGACTGATTGTTTTTCGGAGCGATAAAAGTAGTTGCCAAAGACATAGAGTTCATCGTTTGTGTGTGGGCTGTGATACTGCCCGGGTGCCCAAACCGAAGCAGGTGGTTATCTTAGGGGGCCACTCCCCGAGCCTTTGACCTAAAGGTCTAACCCACAAGGCAGTGGAGCATCGTAAGGAGATGCAATCCCATGGTAGCCGGTGACCAAAGATTGGTTCATACGCCATTTGTTCCCGCAGGATACTGGAGCCCATGTGCACCATTGGTTTGTGATCCGGTTAAAGCGCCGGACATTCGCTTTTCGTCCTCTCATTTTCGTAAACAACACCCCCGCCACGAGAAGGCAATGAGTAGGACTTCCCTGGCAGAGGCTGTATACGCGCGGCCGTGTGAGAGTATTTCGAGAGGGAGAGCGGACTCACCCCACTCTCGGCCGTACCAGGGCGTTCGGGGACCGAACTACTTCTTCTAATAACTCTATATTACACATCATCATAATATCATTATTCTGACATCTGATTTTCAGTTGAATAGACAAAGTTGAATGACCGTATATCGCTTGATTGCATAATCCCAAGATTATATCAACAACTTTTTTGTTTCAGTGGAAATTTTAGAAGTATATACCATAAGTATTAGTTGGGCTATTTGTGAGACGTATTTAATACGGTTATATTACTTGTAAGTAACTCTTATATCATACAATTTCTTTATTTTATTGATCGATATTGTCAACCAACACCAAGGTCAGGATTTTCAATACGAATGTCAAGACAGTTCTACTGTATGGGGCAGAAACCTGGAGAACTACGAAAGCCATCATCCAGAAAATACAGGTGTTTATTAACAGCTGTCTACACATTGAGGAAAGCACCCAACTGTGTCACAAGACAAACCCTCACATGGAATCCTGAAGGCCAAAGGAGGAGGGAAAGACCAAAGAACACATTACGTAGAGAAATGGAGATAGACATGAGAAAAATGAACAAGAATTGGATGGAATTAGAAAAGAAGGCCCAAGACAGAGTGGGTTGGAGAATGCCGGTCTGCGGCCTATGCTCTATTAGGAGTAACAGGCGTAAGTAAGTAATTGATCGATATTACCAGTAATTATTCAGTTCTAATAAAACAATTATTTCAATTATTATCCGTGATTACCGTTGACTGTTTGATGTTAATTTCATTCCTTCGAATGTAATTAATTAATGGATTTTGAGAGGTATTTACAAAATATTCTGATTTTTTTCGATTCCAAATAATAACACTTAAGTGAAATTGAAGCTATGTGACTCGACAGTTGAAATAAAACTGAATATCATCAATTCAAAGTTCAAATAAGTACATTACTGGTAGTAATCAGTATAAAGAAATGAAATTCTCATGATAAATGCCAGATTACTATATGCAGCAATAGCATTGATAGTACTAACAAAAATTAGGCATAAATATTATGATATGAGAAAATAAGTTTATAGGATAAAAGGTATAAGTATTTGACAACAAAGATTAAATGCATATGAGCCATTGAGACCGATTTTAAACCATATCGTTCAACGTCTCATACCATCGGTTACGATAATCTCGTGGACCTTAACAAATAAAATGCTAATGTTTATAGTACCTTAAATTTATGCACAGAAATTAGTTATGATCACATACTATGCGATTATGTTTAAAAAATAAATGTTGGGGTAATTTTCCACTTGAAAACGCTTTAGCATCTAAGTGCTCAGCAACTTGTTTTACAACTAAATTCTGATTAGATGCTCATTATTTTAGATCCATTAGTAGTACATCTAGTGACCTATCTAAAGTCGTTGGCGTAATTCCATTTTTTATTTTAGTATTGTGGAGATTGCTGAATTTGTAATATCACATCACGAACTGACTATGGTTAATCCGTCAGTCAGCTACAACATAGGACCAGGCACATATGTGCATCCGTCTATGGTTAAACGGTGATTCAAAATCAGAAGGCATTGGACATTTGTTTTGTCCAAGTAGAGTGTGCGACAAATGTCATTAATGGCAGTGAATGACGGCTGCACAATACCGTGAGCAGAGTGAAGCTCGGAGTATAAACCATTAGGTGCTCACCACGAGCCATAAAGATCCTGGGTTCGACTTCTTTTGAGGTCGTTGGTGCACACTGTTGGAGAGTCCCATACTAGAACGAAACGGCTATCCGTGGCCTCCTAGTCTTCAAAAGTTTTCTAACTTAAGTCAGTCTACGTGACATGAAACTTCAGTTCCATTTGTCCATAAATATTATACAACGGTTTAACGGTTACCGGGTGTTTAGGCTTAATGACGAAACCTACAATATCTCAACGATGGACTCATTATCAAAGAATTCAATACATGATTCAATAAACAGAAATAAGCAGCTTACCGGAAGATATGCTATTGATGCTGGAGTTTTTGTGCTTGAACGTACAAAACATAAGCTACTAGAATTTATCATGGAGCTAACTAAAACTTCGTGCCATTTTCCTTCATGTTTCTAGAAAAGAACAAACGGGAATGATAAGGCGAACAAAGAGTCATAACTGCATATTGCTATCATATTGTGTAAATGAGTTTAAATGATAATAATGGTCGCATGAATATTTTAGTGGGCCATCTGACTTTATTTGATTTCGCATAAGTTTCTTGACTTGAGACGTGTATGCAACGCAGTATTAAAGACCGACATATGAAATGTTACATAAACAATTCAGGTATTCGTACAAGCATAAACTAGCAGAAAATATGAACATATACAAGATGGAATCGGCACACTAGCTGGATAGCTAAATAATTTTGTATAAGTTTATATATAGAATAGATAATGGATAAGATAAATGAGTACACACGCATAGACATCAAAAGGTACACGGTTAGTGGAATAAATGAGATCAATTATAAAAGACACATATGTATAAAAGATCACAATTACTCATGAGTATGGGATTATAAGGATAAAAATAGCACATTTATTACATGGTCTTTAGATTATTACTAACTACTTAAATAAGAACATATTTCTGTAAGCGTATATGAAGCCATTACAATATATGATGACTTACCTGAAAACAATGAACTGGAAGCACATCGAAAAATTCGTGACCTATAAAAAATGAGAACTTTTCAGGAACTTGGCGTAAGTCAGTATGCCAAAATATAAGTGGAGGTTTATTATCTAAACATGACAGAGTTTTTTCTATTGTTTGCTTTTGAGTCTGTTGCATTGATTGACTTATTTCAACTAAGTGTATTGATAATGTTGAATATATGTCTGGGAATTTGGAAAAAACCTGGAATAAAATGAAGTACAATTGATTAAGATACATTTTTTGTAAGTTAGTAAATCACTAACGGCCAAAATATGGTATGTGAACGAAATTGAGGGATCTTTAAAATGACGTTTTGATTTTGAAGCCATTTTCCAGTCAATGAGCAGATGATCTGCATATACAGGAAGTATTTCGCAACAAAAATGATCAGATCTGTCAGAGATTAGTACAATTAGGAAGTTCATTAGTTTATCGAGCGTTATTATCGGTTATCCGATTTTAATATAGTAGGAGTATCGTTACATAACCTCCTCTGTGTGGATGCAAACTTTTTCAGGCTAAAAGGTTTGTTTTCGAATTGTTCTTATAACTATAAATGTTCCCCAGAAAATTCATTATTAACTACAAAATCTTTGTTCCTAACTTCTCTGAAGAGTCGGGAAGATCGAGTTATAGGAAAGTTATCGTTGTCCCCATTCTGACATGAGAAATTCATGCGTAAAAAGAAGTGTTTAGTTTAGTATACCTACTTCAACAGCTTTCCTATTCTTCATCAAAACAGTTATCAAATGATTTCTTTGTAGTTTAACTATGAACAAAGAAAACTGAGACGAAGACTGGTTTGTTTACGTGTTATGTAAGATTGTGTAAAAAAGTGAGTATCCGGTAATTATAAAAACGTTCTGATGTCTATACTAAGACATTACCATTACACTTGTAGTGAAAGATAAAAGTCACTCATTTTTGAAAATCGTTCAAACATTCGAAGTCCATTTTAATTCTGACTGGATTGTCCGTATACTATACTTTAACCTCAATAACTAACAAACCTATGTTATTTAAATTAATCAATGGTATAGCTATAAACTAGTAAGAGACTGTTAGTAAATGCTACCTTTATTGAAACCACATACAGGTTCATACACTTAACTTTGAGAATCACTTTCACTATTAAAGGAATAATAATATTTGAATGAAGTGTTTGCATATGTGAATCAGTGAATTAAAAGTCTAGTAATTTGGCTACTAAACCGTCACCATAAATTGGTTAACGTAATCACTAGACTTACTATGCAAGAGAAAATAAAAAATGAATCTATTTGCTACCGCGACCAATTTTAAGTAATACCAAGATTATAAACATAGAAACACATATTCTTGTATTATCTACTACTATGAACGAATGTCCACAGACAATCAGAGCAAAAGCAGTAAGCTTCCTCTAAGTATTTGAATATAAACCACGTAACGATGTATATGAAGTGTTTTTGTGGAAATTCTACAGATTTCAGGGTCAGGTCGATTACCGACAACCAAACAACGTTAATCATTCATATGTACTTTTGCAAAACTTATTTTAAACTGGGTCTTTAGATAAAAATAAATAATGACATTATTATGACCCATCAAGGTAAAAACATTATTATATTTTCATCAAACAAACCCTTAGTATATCAGAGCAAAGTGTGCCACGTCCTGGACCAAGTTCAACGAGTTGTAGGTGTTTAGGGCTGTTTTGTCTTTTCCATTCTTCCAGCAACCATACACCTATCAACTACTAGAGTATTTTAAGCAAAAGAAACATGGTTACCTCACCAAAGATTTGACATATTTCAGGTGAAGTGGTAAAATCTCCAGATTTTCCGAAAACACTGTGTGTATTATAATAACCCTGAAAGGTAATCAACTAGAAATTCTTACAATTTACATATAGTGGGTTAGATAAACATTCTTTCATGTATTCAGCTACAGTTAAGGGTCCGAAAGTGTTAATACGTTCCAACAAATGCTTATTTAGGACTTGAGATAGTTGTTCTGGAGATTCGGAAGAACTAGAATAACGACCACAGTGCATAGTGCAAGACAAAATATTGCGTACATTGCGCAGTTTTGAAAAGTAGGACATTCTCCAAATTGAGGTCAAAATAACTCTTTAAGAAAGAGAAATAAGCACTTTATATACATTATGACAAACAAAAATATCAACATTCTGTAGTATGCAACTATAAAACTGAATGATAGGGGAGCAATGAAGTCTAACTACGGAGTGCGATTTATTACTGACTTAAAAAACTGGCGAGTTCATCCCAGTTTTAGGTTTTACGAATTCCAGTAGTATGAAATTTAGTTTTGTTAAAAATGGTGAACTTTAGATAAGCATTTACAGTTGCATCATAATTTGCTACTAACTGAACGGACCACTTATCAGTACAAACGTTCCCACACGTTGTTACTGAGGTATGGGCATGAATTATTGATTATACTAGTTTGTATTATAGATGATAAAAAAACACATGGAAAAGACATTTGAGATTAAGTCTAATCACCAATAGGAATGTGAGTTACAGCTAGATTTATAAATTGTAACGGCTTAGTTAGATGATGGTGACTTATTTAGGAGATTGTTATTATCTTTATCAACTCGTAGTTTCATCATCAGTTTAGTATCAGTTTCATAGTCATTGAACAGAAGACTTATCGATTCCTCCCACCAGCTTACAACCTGCGCTTTTTTCGTGTATATAAATCAATCCTTATGTCCTGATGGTCCTTTCGTGGGACTAAGTTTCGAGAAGGGTCTAATCAGAAATGTTGGGAAGTGTCGATGAAGTTCAATGGGTTTCCACAAAAGTGGTGAGAATTCTGAGTAAACCTTAAAAAACTTTAAATTCACCTTAGTCTTGCGAGTTTTTATCAAGCAAGTTGAAGAAAAAAACCTAGCGGAAATTCTGGAGTCTCCAATTACAACTTTACCTAAGCTTCCCCAAAGTTAGGGGACTGGGTGAATTCACATTTTTCACCAACCTAAGGCCGAGAACCCTTAAGACGGCAACACTGGCTCGAGAATTACAAATGAATAAACTCAATTACATCGACATTTCAGTTTGGCGTTGGAGTATTCAGCAGCCAGTAATTTTGTACAGATAGCAGTATTGCCAAAATTAGACAACTCATTTACTAGGAAAACGGATAACTAATTAGATGAGTAATAACTAGGGTGAAACGGTTCGGATGATGCTTCTATTTCGTTTTTGAAATACGGCAAGTCTCACCGTCACCCACAAGGTCGTGAGTCACAGTTTAAATTGGTGCCGTCATGACTTGTAGGTCATTTCAATACCCAATGGCCTATGAAGAAGTCTTCTCAACCAAAAACTATCCCGGAACATAATTGAAGTAGGTTTGATAGAAGTTAGTTAGTTAATACTATGATGACTAGTATGGTAGTGATGATGACCGTTCTAATGATGGTGACGTTGTTAGTACCAATGGTTTTCATTCAGTGCAGTAGAATAAATAAAATTCATACTAGATGGTAATATTCGGGGTTAAACAGGCTACCTAAAGAAGAAGGATAAAAGGATTGATCAAAATGTGATTGACATGCATGTATCAGCAATTTACCAGACTAAACATACAATAAACTCAAATGGCGGTATTCAGCTACCTACTTTGCATATCGTCTCGTGAAGTCTGCATATTCTGTTGAATATCCATTGAGGTATCAGGTATCCTGACGACCAGGTACTCTTAATCATTAGACACAATCAAAGGAAAAATGAAGGCATAGAAAGAGGATGACCATGAGATTGGCAGATTGTAGATCACCAACGTAGATGATCTATGTCGAAATGATTGGAGGCCTACTCGAGTTAGACATGAATGGTGTGACAAACTAGCTAATGTCGAAGTCACACCTTGTGGTCAGCACCTTACGTGGACTACCCCATTGACGTATCACGGTACCATAGATGCTTTGAAGACTGTACAACACAGAGGACGTTATCACAGAAATATATTAGTTAAGGTAGATACAAGCGAAAGTAAGGCCACTGCCGCATGGGCCAGTCCATGGCGTATGATTAACTAATGCGCGTTGCTTGTACATGACCTTGGCAGGGAGCGACGATCTGTTCGACATCCAGTGATCCAACTGCCGGATGATTTGGCTAGGGCTCAGTGACATTTCACTGGCCCTACAAGATCAATAGTTATCACTGCTTATTGTCGATTTATAGGTTGCCTGTTCCCAAATAAAATATTGGTTTTGACTGACACTAGCAACTCACTTCTCAATGGAGTTGTAAATACACGCGATTACAGATGGAAATTGCTTCTCGTTACAATACAAAATGATCAGTACACCTAAATGGTCTGACGAAAGTGCTAATCAGTGAGTTTGATAGTGACCATAATATATGGGTGTGATTAGGCTGTGAATTGACTGAAGACTTGTGTCTATCGTGTTTTTGTACGGTTGAATCATGTTCATTCTAGTCCTTACTTGTTACATCGAAGAACTGAGATCTGTGAATAGCTCTCAGGCATTTATCATAGTATTTCCTTGTGGAAAAGCTCGTAGGTAACACTTAATGGCCAAAACAGAAGTCAGTGTTTTTAATTGTCATGTTCGACTGAATTATGGACCGTAAGTAATAAGAGCATACTATATTAGCATCTTTATGAGCTATTAAAATGATCTTCGAACGTAAAGCTGAATTTTGTGGGCGATGAAATCTGGCTTTTCTGAAATGTTCAGCAAATGTGCAGTATCTTGGATCGTAGGGCATTTAAATGAATGAATTTCGACTATGAGAGTGTTATTTTTTATTCAATCCCAACACCTCACCATATCCGTGTTTTGTATCCGTGTCAGAGTGCACTGCGCAAATCCGATTTCCCCCAGTATCCGGGACGTTCAACGCGTGCGCCCCAGAGACCTACTGGGCCTATGTCGGTCGACACGAATGACGCACACCAAAAGGATTTATAGATGTGTGCATGATGTGCAAATGTATCGGTTTCATATTGAGTATGCATAGGCGAGATAGCCGAAAGGACAGGAGAGTGACTTCGGAGAGATGTCCGGATATGATAATTAGGAGTTGTAGTGGCATTGGACAATAGCCACACAATCCACAAAGCTGTGAACACGAGACTACTCAGAAAATAGATATTCAATATTTAACGCGGAGAAATACCTAACAATGGAGAAGGCGCGAACAATGGATTGAATGGACTGGAGTTGATCGAGTGGCATGGCTCGTCCATGCAGGCGTGGTCCATGCTAGATGTTATCTTATATCTCCTATTCATATTAAATATATTGTTCTTTCTCTAGCCTAAGCTTGTTCTTCATCATGTATTGGTAATTGATACGAGACAGTGAGTTGGCGTAGTCGATGATGTGACTTCCACGTAAGATCTTATAGATTAGGCAGTTATATCATGACGAATCTACAATTTTGGGATTAGGTCTATTATTAGAGCAGTACTAATATCATAGTAGACCATAATTCTACATTGGTGAGCCCAACTAAAGAAACGCAACCTATTATTATTAATCCTTATTTCCACTTCAACTTTCTCGATCGATTTTATATTTATGTTAACACTGTATTCTAATGGTCCTCTGATTAATGCTCACATGCATTATCGTAATCTTATATTGATTAGTCCTCATGACAAACTAGCTCAATCGATAATAAAAACTGGTCGTCTGTATTAACTAATTAGCTTTGATGGTTTGTTAACAAGCTGTAATAGCATTTACATGCTTCAGCGACATAGTCTTGTTTAAACATCAAGCTCCAGCAAATATGACCTGTAAATAGAGTAAATATACATTGACTAACAATGCGATCAAGGACTAAATAGTTCTCTGGATCTAATTCTCAGTGTTCCTTCACTTAACACCTCATCCTGTTTTAAACGATGCACTATCCTGTAATATCTTTTCTTCCGACCACTGCCTGCCTAATTTCATATTCTCGAGTTCCATTGCCAAACAACGAGGATGACTACTCCAAAAACATACGGTGAGTTTCAGCTATAAGTTTTCTGCAATCATTTTTAGATGGTTCGTTCAATGACAACCATACAATTATCTGGATTCATTCGATTCAAAATATGACTGGGGTCACCTTGCTAAAGGTGTATAGACTAGGGAGTCTAACGGACTCGAAACCAAATCATTCCAGACTGCTTAAAGTAGTATTCGGCTCTTCAAACGAACGTGACCTAATTTTACAAAATGGACGCAAATTAAAGGGTTCGGGAGTCTTTATCCGAAAGGACCTACCGTTGGCAGACCGTGTTAAAAGACGGGAAGCCGAGAAAGAACTACAACATAGGTTAGACGCTGGCGAAAAGGACCTGAAAATTGTAAATTTTCGGGTTGTAAGACTTCGACAGAGAATGATGCCGAAGCCACTCTGGGTGAAGCACGAAGGCACCTAAACAGGCTTCGGATCTGTTACACCAATGCACGAAGCTTACTTAATAAGCGATCGGAACTAGGTGTACAGATTGACTCTATAAAGCCAGATATAATCGCAGTAACAGAAACCTGGCTGACACAGGCTATAGATAGTATAGAACTTGATTTCGAGGGCTTTACGTTAGTAAGGGCCGACAGAACACAAAAGCGCAAAGGAGGGGGAGTAGCTCTATTCATTAGGAATGCTATCCCGTTTACCATTATCGATAGTGTATCCCATGAGAGTGGGACATGCGAATTAGTTAGTCTTCGCTTAAAATGCAAGGGACAAGAGCTGCTGATTGGTTTGGTCTATCGCAGTCCAAGCTATGAGGCAAATGAGATCCTGTTAAGCAGTCTCAATACTTGGTCCCAAAGTGGTCGATGTCTAATCCTAGGGGACTTTAATGCACCAATGGTAGACTGGGAAAATCTGCGAACTGAATCGTCAGAAAATTCCTTTGAGCAGGAACTAGTTGATGCGGTTATCACATGTGCCCTAGTGCAACATGTGAAAGAAGCGACTAGGTACGACCCGGACACTGAATCATCCTTATTAGATCTTATACTGACTCACTATGAGGATGATGTTGCGAACCTCCACCATATGCCACCCTTAGGTAAAAGTGACCACGCAGTTTTAACTTTCGACTTCCATATAACTGCCAGTCATGAGGACGCGTCAGTCCAGTCCAGACCCAACGTCTGGAAAGCAAACATACCAGAAATCATGCACTCAGCATCGTTAATAGATTGGACAATAGACCCAGAGTCCTCCATTGAAACGGCCTGGGACACATTTCGAAAATCATACTTAAAAGTTACCACACCTCACATCCCTTGGACTATACCAAAGGGGCCGAAAAACTCACCACCATGGTTCAGTAGGGAGGTCCGTATCCTTCTCCGTAAGAAAAGGAAAACGTGGGATAGATTTAGGTTACTGGGGACTGATGAGTCAAAATCTCAGTATCGAAAGGCTCGGAACACTTGTGCCTCGACCCTCCGTAAGTCTAGAAAATTGTACGAAGAAAAACTTGTTAAGGAATCCATAGAATGTCCTAAACGCTTGTATTCCTATATAAACCAAAGGACAAGGAGAAAAGGAAATATTCCTGCTCTATGGGGAGACAGTACTGCTTCATCATTAGTGGAGGACGACTTTGGTAAGGCTCAAGCGTTCTCGAACTACTTTAGCAACGTGTATACCATAGAAGCGCCCTTCTCGTCAGCGTATACAGATCCCCCCATACATACACTGGATAGCGTGACCATTAAAGAACTCGATGTCTTTGGTCTGCTAAATAAGCTTGACATAGGTAAATCCACGGGGCCCGATGAATTACATCCTAGGCTACTGAAGGAATTATCTAACTTCGTTGCGAACCCTTTAAGTACATGCTTCAACCTATCCGTTACGCAGGGTCGCTTACCGAAAGATTGGAAAAACGCCATAGTAAGTCCTGTCTTCAAAACAGGCACGAAACACAAACCTGAGAACTACCGCCCCGTTAGCCTAACTAGTGTGGTTGTTAAAATATTAGAAAAGATTATTCGGAAGGAGCTGTTTAAGTATCTCGATAAAAACCGGATCCTCTCGGAGAAGCAGCATGGCTTCAGAATAGGTTATTCTTGTCTCACTAACTTATTAGTGGCTCGTGAAAGTTGGTGTGCTCTTAAGGACCAAAAGCTACCTGTAGACGTCGCCTTCATTGATTTCAGTAAAGCTTTTGATAAAGTTCCGCACAACCGGCTGTTATATAAGTTAAGACATGTCGGGATTGGAGGTAATTTATTGATGTGGATAAAAGACTTCTTAGTTGGGCGTCAACAAAGAGTAAGG